TAAATTTGTGTAACTAGCTGCAAATAAACATAATCAAATATGGTATAAACATTCATTTTAAATATAGAAAATCTAAAATAGAATTAAAATAATCATTGAGTGCTAACAAAATATTTAATTATTATTTTTATAAAAAATTATATTATTAAATCAAAAATAAATTACTTTGTTATTAAATCTAAATTAAATTATAATAAAAAATTGAATTAAAAAAGTTACACAAAAAAACGAGAACTATTAAATAGTTAATTTGATACTAATATCGATTTATTTTTTTCAATTTTTTATTCTATCTTCAAATATATATTTCATTCAAAAATAAAAACATTATCGTTTTTCAAAACCACATAAAATTGTATTATATCGATAGGGACAGAATAAAAACTAAACATTAGAATCGAGATTTATCTTGCTGGATTGTACGAGTACCCTTCTAGTTATATTTATATAAATATAAATGATATATTGATTAACACAATATTAGCAAATATTTAATTGAGGTATACATTATTATTTTTTTTTTGAAAAAAATCACCATATTTTAAGAAATGTAGAATAATTTTGTTTAAAAAATCGCCACTAATTTCCAATGAAACATGTTCAAACTATTTAATTGAACAGGGTAATTTTCAATGAAATAGGCTCAAACTGTTCAATGAAACAAGATCATATATGATTGCATCAGGTTCATATGTATAACAACTGTAATGAAACAAGTTTTATATTCATAGGTATGTATAACAGTTTGTAATGAAACATATTCATATGTATAACAACTGTAATGGAACATGTTCATAGATCATATATGATTGCATCAAGTTCATATGTATGACAGCTGTAATGAAACAATTTTATAGAACATGTTTTTTTTTCTTGTTTTGCCTTTCCGTGTCTCCAATATGATTTTTTTACTTTACTTATTTAGTTTGTTTCAATTTTGTCTTTTATCAAAAAAATGGATGAATATATATATATATATATGTATATATATATATATTGATAGATAAATTTAGGATCATGTGAGATCAATAGTTTTTCGTGAAACCCGTAAGACCAATTTTTAACTCTTGGATTACATTTACAATCGTCAGATATGGACATTCATAAACGCCACGAGACTTCTCAATAATCACAAAATTGTGACCGTGCAACTTTATATCATTAGATAATTAGCTTATAAAGTTGATCAATGCACATAAATTGGTCTTACGGGTCTCACGTGAACCCAACCATATATATATCGTGTAACTTTAGACCATTAGATCATTAGCTTATAAAGTTGATCAATAAACATAAATTGATCTTACGGGTCTTATGAAAAACATTTGGTCTCACGTGAACCCAACCCTATATATATATATATATATATAAATGAGTAAAAAAATAAAAAGGTGTGTACCTTGGAAACCCCAAAATGAAAGAGACATAACTAGGGTTAATAAATCTATAACATTATTGGAGAGTGGTGATCAAGGGATTATATTCAATTATTGTGTCATTTAGGAATTTTTTGTTTGTTTTTATTTGCTTTTACTTTTACTAATTTTCTTTTTTATTTCAATAAATCCTCACTGTCATTTCTCTTCATTTATTTCAAGATTCTATCGTATCTTTAAATTTATATTTTATTCAAAAAAATTTAAAAAAAACATTTATCATCTTTACAGCACCATACAAAAATCGTATTATAACATCGACTATTACAGAATAAAATGAAACATTAAAATCAAAACATGTCTCGCTGTATTAAACGAGAACCCTTTCACTACAATAAAAATAAAACGAGTATTATTAAATGAAGTCGTTTTGATAAATATTAAATATAAAACAAAAAATAACTTAATGTTGATACATATATATATATATATATAATAATAATTTAAAAATAAAATATTAATAAGTCAACCTTATCCAGCCATTTTTTTTATATTTTTAATATATAAATTCATGATTTTAAAAAGAATTATTTAAATGTATTTTTTAAAGAATGGTTCAAAATTGATAATTTATATCTATTAACAATCATGGTAAAAATTAATTCATAAAAATAATATTATTAAATTAAACACGTAATGATTTTTATCATGATCAGCTTTTACCGAATAAATTATTGTATATAATAATATTTTAATTGATTAAAATCTTACTCAATAAATAAATGATTTTTACCGGATTAGAATGGAGTGTTATATTTGAAAAGAAAAGATGGATTATAAAGAAAAAAAAAGGTGGAGTGGAGAGATGGGTGTCTCTGTCCAGAGGATTATTTAATCTTTGTACTCTGCTGACACCAGAGATATCATTCAGCTTTATACATTAACATCCAAACCTTCTTTTATTTCTATCTCTTTTTTCATTTTATTTATATACTTAATATAATTTAATTAATATCTCATTTTATAAAAAATTTAATTGTTTTTTAATATAAAATATTAATAAATTTTAATCATTTTCATAAATATCTCAATTGATTGGGTTGTATTGGTTGTACAAATATGATGAGTTGCATTTGAAACGTACTCTCTCTCTATATATATATACATGCACACACTTAAATAAAAAAAAATCTCATTTTATATATATACTAGAAGGATACTTGTAAAATTCAGTAAGATATATATCTTCATTTTATTTATTTTCTCTATCGATATAATACGATTTTATGTAATTTTAGAAAACGATAATATTTTTATTTCTTTAATTTTAATTTTTTATTATAATTTAATTTAGATATAACAATAAAGTAATTTGTTTTTGTTTAATAATATAATTTTTGTAAGGATGATAATTAAGTATTCTGTTAAAACTCAATAATTATCTTAATTATATTTTAATTTTTTATATTTAAAATGAGATGTTTATCTTGTATTTGATTACACTTATATGCAGTTAGTTACATGTTTTCAAAAATAGAGCTTTAATAAGTTGTACTTACGCACAATTTACCTGTAGTATTGAGTTTTAAGTAATATGTATCAATAAACAGTACTTTATGCAAAAAAAATGATTTTTAAAGATTTTTGTCAAATGCTTTATAATATAGTATAGATATATTTATTTTAAGTAAATGTTGTACTGTATTTTTTTGTACGATTGAGGTAACGAACCCGTAACATCAAATGGTCAAGATTCAACGGTATATGAGTCATGATAGATTGTAATCAATAGTTTAAATCTTCATAAATAAGGATTGTGAGTGTGTAAATTAGTATGTGATGTACCAGATCAATCCATTATAGTAATATTGTCGAGTTCTTGTGAGAATGAGAGTTAATGTGTGAAGCGTAAGAAGGGATTTACACCATTGGATGCACAATAATATGAGATGCACATTAGTATGAGATGCACTAGATCAATCCCCGTATCAAGCGTCATTCATGGATGAGTATGAAATAAAAGGTGATCAAGGATCCATATCACTTTTTACGCTCTAACCTTAACTCTCTTTCTTATACGATCTTTTGCCTATATTAATATATAGACACACATATATAGAAGTATGATCAAACGAGAACGTTAACTATTTAAGAAACAAAAAGAAGAGCGTTAATGTATAAAAATCATGTATGATTCATGTACAAAATCATATATGATCCACGTACAAAATCATACATGATTCACAAACGACTTTTTTTTTTGATTAACCTGAACATCCAACCCACTATGCGAGCTGACTAATCCCAAGACGACCACAAGCTTCAAGGGTAGCCCGGAGTCACCACATTTGAACCTCTAAGTACTTTTGATCTTTGGAGTCCAAACTCAAACCAATCGGGCACCACCATTGTACAAAATCATACATGATTCGCCGCGATTTAGTCACGACAAAAGTCGTCCGCTTCCATTTTTTGACGTTAATGTAAAATCACATGTGATTTAGTACATTAACGATTTTTTTCTTGTTTTCTTAAATAGTTAGCGTTCTCGTTTGAACCTTACTCCCCTCCCCCCCCCCTCTCTCTCTCTCTCTCTCTCTCTATATATATATATATATATATAAAGTTGAGTTCTCGTGAGACCATACTGTTTTCTTGAGACTTGTGAGAATAAAGGCGCATACGCAAGACGGGGGCCTTACTACTTCTTGAAAATCGTCTCCGGCCCTAGGTCACTGAAAGGGACATACTCGCAGCCAACCCCTTATTATATATGAGTCGCAGCCGAGCTCCTAACTAATACTTAGATTAAGCATTAGGGGCAAATTCGACGACACTTTTTTCACATTTGAAACTTAATAGCAAAATACTGTGAAGATTGACGGGTCTCACGAAAACAGTTTCGTCTCATGCGATCCCATATATATAGGATATATTTCTTTTATAACCTTGTGTATTTGTACAACCCTTGCAACCCAATTAATTGAAATATTTATAGAAATGATTGGAGTTCATTTATTATAATTTGAATATTTATGGAATATAAATAGAGTTCATTAATTATGATTAATACTTTATATTAGGAAACAATCAAAACTTTTATGAAATCACATATTCATCAAATGAAATGGACGGTTGAGATTAGGTTGTATTGGTTGCACAAATGTCAATGGTTGTATAATAACCAACCCCTCTCTCTCTCTCTCTATATATATATATATATTCGAGTATGGATGGATGGATGATGGAAGATATTGGAAATTTAGAAAGAAAAACAAGAAATGAGGTAAACTTTAGGTTTCATACACATCCAAATGAAAACTACTTTCTGTTCTTCTTCTCTCATAATTTTTCTCACTGACAACCCCTACCTACGGGAATACCCTGCACTCTTCTTCACGCACGCACGCATTCATATCCATGCATCATCCTCTCTCTCTCCCTCTCCCTCTCTACACTTACACTTGCAGACACGACAACCATAACAAGACAACACCCTCCATTTAACACACACACACACTCACTCTCTCTCTCTCTCTCTCTCTCTCTCTCTTCCATCTATAAACACCCATCTTTTCTCTTCGCTACACAAAAACGATCTCCATTGGGTCTCTCTCTTTTGCCATGGAGTTCTTAACCCAGCTGGCGTTTGATAGTAACAGCAATGCCGACTCACACTTACCACCTGGTTTCAGGTTTCATCCAACTGATGAAGAACTCATCACTTGCTATCTCCTTCGGAAAGTTCTTGATGGATCTTTCACTTGTCGTGCCATTGCTGAAGTTGATCTCAACAAGTCAGAACCATGGGAGCTTCCCCGTATGTTTCTTTCATTCAATTTCACACACACACACACACACACACACACAACAGATTCTGATCAGAATTCAAGATTTCTTGAAAATGGTGGTTTATGTTGATTATGTTTGATGAAACAGAAAGGGCGAAAATGGGGGAGAAAGAGTGGTACTTTTTCAGTCTTCGTGACCGGAAATATCCAACTGGGCTGAGGACGAACAGGGCGACGGAGGCCGGATACTGGAAAGCCACCGGAAAAGATAGAGAGATTTACAGCTCAAAAACTTCAACTTTAGTTGGAATGAAGAAGACGCTGGTGTTTTATAGAGGTAGAGCTCCAAAAGGTGAAAAGAGCAACTGGGTGATGCATGAATACCGTCTTGAAGGCAAATTTGCTTACCATTTTCTCTCCAAAACCTCCAAGGTACAACACATTCTTGCATGCAAATCAACAAACAATGGTGCTTATATATATATATATATATATATATATATATATATATATATATATATGTTTTGATCTTTGCATGCATTTTCTTTTATTAACTTTGATATCTAACCCGTTATATGAGCCGACTAATCCCAAGATGACGACTTGTTTTGCGGTAGCATTTGAACCTCTGTGTCATAAGAGATTTTTATTTCTCCTTGAATTTAATTAGGTTTTACATGTACTTTTGACTTTTGGTGCTCAAATTCAATCCAATCAAACACTACCATTATGGTTAATTTGTCACAAATATCCATTCCGGACGATCAAATTTACCTCTTAAAATCATCTTCAATCCAACTATTAAAAATTGTGAATCTAATGAACACTACAAAAATCAACTATAACATCTCTAATATTATAATATATGTGTTTATACAATATATATGTGTATATATATACAAAATTACATTTTTAACCCTAAAAATTAAAAATCTAACAAACTAACCATCCGTTACTTTAATTAGATTAGATTTTAATTTTTAGAGTTAAAAATGTAATTTTTTGTTATTTAAGAGGGTTATTTTGGTCAGAAACCCCATCTCTCTTTTCCACTTTTTTTTTTTTTTTTAAAGTCACCACTCTGTAAGTACTCATTTCGTAACTTGCAGAAGGGTCCACAAGTAATATTTTCTCATGTCTGAGAATGTATTTAGATTCATCGTAGATTTGGTCTCTGCACTTGTCGGTTGTTGTGTTATGAATTCTTTGGTAAAAAAGTGAAAAAAAGTAAAATTGGAGGGTTAAAATGGATATTTATGTGGGGTATTTGGAATAGGGAAATCTTTGTTGTTTTCTTTGCTGTCATGGATCATGATTGATTCGATGTTGCATGTAAAAAGTGATATGGTTTTTTTGCTTTATGTTTTTTGTGTTAAAAAGTTGAATCATTTCTTGTAATCAGGATGAATGGGTGATTTCCAGAGTGTTTCAGAAGACTGGCGTTGTCGCCGGCGCCGGCGGCAATGGTAGTTCAGTCTCCGGCGGTGGCAGTGGCGGAGGGATGAAGGGTTTTAACGGCCGAATGAACTCTTACCACCAAGAAGTGAACTCATCAGGATCGGTTTCCGTTTCCCTTCCGCCGTTACTCGACTCCTCACCGTACCCTTCCGCCGCATCACCATTCGCCGGCGACCATGATAGCTTCTCCTACGACAGCAACGCCGCCTCGAAAGAGCACGTGCCCTGTTTCTCCACTGCATCAGCCTGCAGCAACTTTGATAATCGGTCTATTTTCGATTTTCCTCCGGCGCCGGCGGCCACCTTCAACCACCCAACCTCCATGGATTACCAGAAGAATGTGGGTGTTTCAGCCTTTCCTATCTTAAGAGCACCTCAGGAGAATCTTCAGCTTCCATTCTTTTACTCATCTGTAGCGCCACCGCAGCCGCCGATTCACAGCGACGGAGCGATGTGCAGCTTTGGTAGTTCCTCCGGTGGAAACTGGTTGCCGGCGGTTACTTCGGCAACTGAGAATCAGAAGCCGGGTCCCACTGAGCTGGACTGTATCTGGAGCTTCTGATCGAGCTTCACGGCTGCCGCCGGCAACTTCAATTGTCGTTTTTTTTTCGCCGGAAAATCTTTCCGATCAGGGTAGTGTCAGTTCATGTAAGATGTTGCATTGTCTGTTGTTTATGACTTGATCGTTAATGATGGATCTGTTTTCGTACTTCCCGAGTTTTTTTTATTTATCATTTTATTATTTAAATTATATATTTTATTAAAATAATTATACAAAAACGTGTTAAATTTTTTTTTAGTTTTAAAAAGTGCTTAGATATTTTGTAATATTATAAAATATAAAAAATCATATCAAATATTTGCAATGAATGTTGGTATTATTATCGGGGTTGAATTTACGTGGGACAACTTTTTACACTTGAAACTTCATAACAAAACGTTGTGCAGGTAAAAAAATCCAAACTTTCATAATAAAACTATTATGAAGATTACATTTACAGTGTTTTGCTGTGAAGTTTCAAGTGTAAAACTTGTCTCACATGATCTCAAGTCTTAAAATCATAATGTTTAACCGTTCATGACAAATATCACGAATATTTTTTTATAAATATAATGATAAAAATTTACCATTTTATATTATATTGACCCTCTTCCCTAGGGATCTCGGGTAAGGGAATCCTAGACGAATCTTACTGAGAATAACAAGAGCGTCAATAAATACTCAAAGTTTCAAACTGATTAGGCGTATTGTGTCGGTTTTTTTTAGGAAAAATAATTTCACGCTTTTTCTGAAGAACTAGGGAAATCCTATTGATTTCAGCTTTTTCCAGACTAGGGGTGCTAAAAAATCCGACCAACCCGATCAACCCACCCCAACCCAACCCAATGTGAACTAACTCAACTCGAAGCAAAACAATGTTTAATCGAGTTGTAAAATTTTCAAACCGTAGGTATTAGGTTGATATTGAGTTAACTATTATTTGAACCCAACTTAAACTCGATGAACCCGATATCATTTTATTTCTTGGATTTAATATGATTGTTGGATTTTTATTAATATATACATTAGACAATTACACCATCACGTACATGCTCCATCCATATACACATGCTTTTAATTTATTCACATCTCTATATAACTCATTCGTGTATATGTTCAGTAACTGTAAACATATATATGTAAATTGAGAAAATTAACTGAATGTGATATACATAAGAAGTATGAATAAGTTATATCAAATGATTGATGGTGAAAAAGAAATTATGAGTAGATAAATAACATATTCAATGTTAGAAAAATATTTTAATGTACCAAATTATCAACCCGATCAACCCGTACAATTTGGATTGGGTTGGGTTGCACTTTGGATTGGGTTGAGTTGCATTAAGATTTTTCAAACCGTAAACATTGGGTTAGGTTGTTCAAATGTCTTCAGCCCCATCATCCTAATCCATGAGCACCCTTACTCCAGACCTCGGAAAAAAAGCAAGAAAAAAAAGGATCGTTAATATTACAGTAGAGATATAATTATTTGTTAACCGATTAATTAATATATTATAAATTTATTTGAGTCTATTCATTATAACGCTAAAGATTATTCATCATCAACAGAAAATGAGAATACGCACCATCATCCTCCAGTATTATCATCCCCTTAATATAAACCAAGCAACCTTTGAAACTAGGGGTGCTCACGGCCCGGGTTGATCGGTTTGGAGTCGTTTTAACAACCCAACCCAATGTTGGCGGTTTGAAAATTTTCAACCTAACCCAACCCAAACAAAAGATCAACCCAACCCAACCCAACCCAACCCGACCCGTTCGGGTTGATCGGGTTCATCGGGTTTTTGATCACCCCTAAATCTTCACAGCATTGTCAGTCCTGTCTCATATATGAAAACCGAACAACTTACARCTTCTATTGACAACCCTCACCTCCCTAACCTGCAGACCCAGAATATTGATGCAACTAATTTGGAACTTCATGTCAAGTTTATACTCGTCAGTGGACATCTTGCAGTAAGAGAAAAATAGACTTACTTTGTCATGATCAATGGATTCCCAAACACCATTGCATCTACTTACAGTACCTTCAACTAAGCTTCCGTCTTCCCATTGCATGAGGTGTACATGCAGAACTGAAGTTGCAAAAAACATCTATCCACAAGCACAATAAACAGGATTGGATTGCATAAACAACACATGAAATATTGTCATGCCATATATCACAATATCAATAGGTTAAAAGAACAAAGAGGCAACCACCTCTGCGTTTTGGAACTTCATAACGGATGCAACTAATATGGTAGGGCTACAATGCAATCTCAAGCTATAAAAGACACAAGCATAATGCCAAATATCCTRATTTCATTTGGTCCTTGACAAACAGATCCTGACTCCAAACACCCAACATAACAATATAAGTCCAACGGGATTTGTCGGCCAACACCATTAACCATGCATTGACAGTAATAGGTATACCCAGAAATTGACACACAGAAAAACATGAACAAGAAACTGAAAGGTAAATGGAGGAACCACAAACCATCAAATGGGGATTTTTGTAAACTTTAGCTCACATAAGAGCATGTCTTCCTCTGGTGAGTGGTGACCATCCTCCTTTCTTGAAACTATAAGGATTAAGAAGAAATCGAGCTGTATGTAACCTGTAAAGCTATGTACTAATTGAGGTTGTAAGACTGTAAATCGAAGGTATGTAGATCGATAAGAAAGCTGTCTAACAGTAAATCGATGGTATGTAAAGCTATATGTAAAGCTATGTACTTCGATAACAGTAAATCGAAGGTGTTGTGTTACCTTATCTGTGTAAATCGAAGGCTGTGTCGATGTATTGCAAGGCTGTCTCGAACTCTCGATGTTGCTGTCCGAACCGAAGGCTGTGTCGATGCTATCGCTGTCCGACACCGAAGGCCTCTCGCAACTCGCACCGTCGCACGGCTGTGTGTGTCGATGTTGCTCTYGGCCGCTGCTACTCGACTTAGGGTTAGGGAGTTTTGTTGATTTGAGTTTAGGAAGGAGCACTGGAGGCTGGAGCTGCAGAGCTTATCTAGGTTAAACAAGAGGTTCCCCTTCCCGTGTGTTTTTCTTTTGTTGCTTCCAATCGGGTCATCGGGTTGGGTCGGTTTTCATTGGGCCTAAACCGATTTCAACCCAATAGAGTCGGGTTACTTAAGTTTTTAATCAATCAACCTTCGGGTTACCTCGGGTTCGTTTTTTTTATTTTTAAATCGGGTTGGGTTGATCGGGTTGATCGGGTTTTTGAGCACCCCTACCTGAAACTATGAGTGTATGTTTATAAGTTAGGTATCCATTCTCGTAACATTTTCTTTAATTATTATTTACATAGTGATAAATGATACAGGATTACATAGATCTACCATGAAAGCCACAGAAAGCAAGGAGTTCCACTTAACCACAGGACAGAGATAACTCCATAGATCCCTCCATGGTCAACGGGCAACGGGCTTTGACTTCGTTGAGCCTCAAAGCATTCACGCTCCCTTTGCAATCAAACCCCRGAACTACGGCTCAAAGGATCGTGCAGTGGGTGTGTCGGGTTCGAAAGTCTATCCTCTTCCTCCTCCTGCCGTTGGAATGGTGTGTTCGTCTCTGCAATCATGATCTTGATCAAGACCACGTAAAGAAAAAACTAGAATGTCTAAAACAACATGTTGGAATAAAAATGTTGTATTCAAGTCTTGTGCTGTAAACTATTTTATAATGCTTTTGTAGCTAGCTTTACTTGCTTTGTAATAAAGGGGTATAAATAGGGTAGTTGTTAGTTGTATCAGTTAGTTTAGATCATTGAAACATATTGAGCATCGTTGTATCTCAAGAACACTCTGTATTACACTTTGGTTATTCAATATACATTCGGCTTTTAAAAATCATTCATGTGTTCTTAAATCTTGATCTATACGTGTTTATGACTTGATCTGGGATCTACACAACCTTCGTATTCAGATAAAAGAGGGTGGTTCTTTTACTATATGAGCCTTAGAATTTGACTTTCTGAATCGTTTGTATTTTATCTGTTAAATATTATAAACAACTGATTTGAATACGAACAACGATTAAGATGGTTTTATTTGTTTTTATACTGTAAATAAAAAATAAAAAAAAATCAACGTTTTTATCAAATACAGTAATCCATTTGTAATGCAAATTCACATAAAACATCAAAACTCGTAATATTTTATTAGTTATAAAAAAATATGGAATTATATTGGATCGTCTACTTCATTCTATACTTGATGCTATAGTACATCGTTTACAAAATAAATGTACTTTCTGTGTTCGAGTCCAAGTGCTGTCATAATCCTTCTAGTCATGAACGGACCTATAGTTGTGCATACAGTGACACGTGTCACCGTATTATTCCTCCGTTGAAAGGGTAAAAAAAATTTAAGCTCGTGAAATGTGCAGCCGTATTAATTTGTTGTGTGCAACCGTATGTATTTTGAAACTACAATGAGAACAAGTTTTATTTGGTAGAGTTGTTTTGCAAGACTTTTATTCCACCCCAGACCCCAAGTTCGAATGTTGTTAGTTTCATTTTCTTAGTCAAATGGTATCATCATTTAAAATTTTTTCCCTATATTTTTTTCTTCTTATAGTCAAATGATGCAACCGTTTAAAAAAAAATTATGAGTTCGTCTTTACTTCTAATCATGGAGATTCACCTGCAATAACTGCAGACTATTCAAGATTATGGATATCCAAAGGAATCTTGTATTTTAAATATAGACTTTAGGGGAAGGGTGTTAGAAAAGATTGAGAAGGGTATATTTGTAAATAACAAAAAGTAACATAGCAAGCCATGTCTCCCAAATTAACCTACTAGGTATGGTTTGTACCTTGATTTTACAACAATACCCACTCTTCTAACAACTCATAACTTTTGTATTTTATTTATTATTTATTATCTATTATTTAATATTTATTCCCATCTCAAAAATCTTTTACTTTCCCAATTTATCTATTTATTTAACTTTTTTATTTTATTTAAATTATTTATTATCACTTTTCAGATCTATATT